TTTTTTAGAATTGATGGGGTTGGTTTTGCATTCTTTGGCTATCAATTTCTCATTTTATAGTTTAGCCACTTTAATTGCCTTTTTGCAAGCATTATTGGCTTCCTTATATCTTATATAGGATGCCTCTGATTTGTCCAATTTAAATGCTTTAAATGCTCTTTTCTTATTTTTAATTTCTTGTTTTACTGCTCTACTAATCCACATTGGTTTCAATGTGTTTCTTTTATATTTATTAACCAATGGTATATACTGAGAAATGTACCTTCCTAAGATTTGTTTGAATAGTTTCCATTTATCCTCAGTGTTTTTATCAGTCGATATGTTGTAGAGCTGCCCTAATCTTATTGACAGGCCCGGACTGGCCATCGGGCACAGCGGGCAAATGCCCGGTGGGCCGCGGTGTCCGTGGGGCCGAGGCCGGCAGGGGAGGTCCCAGGATCTCCCCTGCCGGTCTATGCAGGGCCGGCACTCTCCTAGCGCCGGCCCCGCTGTTTGCCACGACGGGCCGGTGGGGAGATCAAAGATCTCCCTGACCGGCCCACACGCGGCCGCCGGCGGGGAGGGAGGGAGACAGCCAGCCAGGCTGGAGAGAGGACCCGGCGGAGCTCTAATTTGCGGCTCCGCCGGGATCCTCTCGCGAGATCCGACGCGTTGCCATGGCAACGACCGGATCTCGCGAGGAGTTCACTCACCCACGAGGACCACCAGGGAACACTGCCTCCCCGCCTCCAGTCCCAGCGTGCCGGTCCCCCCCTCCCAGGCTAAAGGTAAGAAGGGAGGGGGGGAATAATACCTGTTTTTTTTTTATTATTTACCCCCCCTACATACACACAATAACATTTATACAGCACTCTCACACCCATCACACACAGCACTCTCTCACACCCATCACACACAGCACTCTCTCACACACACAGCACTCTCTCTCACACAGCACTCTCACACCCATCACACACAGCACTCTCACACACATCACACACAGCACTTTAACACACACAGCACTCTCTCTCACACAGCACTCTCTCTCACACAGCACTCTCACACCCATCACACACAGCACTCTCACACACACACAGCACTCTCTCTCACACAGCACTCTCACACCCATCACACACAGCACTTTAACACACACAGCACTCTCTCACACCCATCACACTCACAGCACTCTCACAGAGCACTCACACACCCATCACACTCACAGCACTCTCACAGAGCACTCACACACACACAACACTCTCACAGCACTCTCACACCCATCACACACAGCACTCTCACACCCATCACTCTCACACCCATCACACACAGCATTCTCTCACAGCACTCTCACACCCATCACTCTCACAGAGCACTCACACACACACCGCACTCTCACACCCATCTCACATACCCATCTCACACAGCACACTCACATCCATCACTCACACACAGCATTCTCACACCCATCACTCACACACGGCATTCTCCCATCCATCACTCACACACAGCATTCTCACACCCATCACTCACACACGGCACTCTCACACCCATCACTCACACACGGCACTCTCACACCCATCACACACCGCACTCTCACACACACATACTGCACCCCTCACACACACACAGAACCCCCCCAACACACTGCACCACAAACATACACAATACTTCCAAATATATATATATATATATATATATATATATGTATACACGCACACACTACACTCTTAAAGGACCACTCTAGCCACCCAGACCACTTCAGCTTAATGAAGTGGTCTTGGTGCTAGGTCTTTCTAGGGTTAACCCATTGTTTTATAAACATAGCAGTTTCAGAGAAACTGCTATGTTTATCAATGGGTTAAGCCTTCCCCCAAAGCCTCTAGCAGCGGTCTCATTGACAGCCGCTAGTGGTGCTTGCGTGCTTTTCACTGTGAAAATCACAGTGAGAGCATGCAAGCATCCATAGGAAAGCATTATAAATGCTTTCTGTGACGAAGTGCCCTTCGCCACTTGGTACTGGAGAGGCCTGCTTGCCATCCTCCTCCCCTGTGACTATGACTCTTTGATGTATTTGCCTTTAAAGCCCCTATTCTACCTTCAGACAGACTATTTATGTAGGCTGCATTATTTATATTATGTTTTAGTCACCCTGTACCCATTATAGGTGCAGGGTGTGTGTAATGTAATTGTTTATAGTGTGTGTGTATACTGTGTAATGTATTGCCTGCTCTCTTGTATTGCTGAGGTTTGCTACCAACTAGGTGGGTTTGGCTATGGAGCTGGTCTAGTGCCCTCTGTTGGTAGCAACAGCAATATGCACTACCTGGATTGCAAGACTGGTTCATTTGCATATTCGGGTAGATTTGCATATTGCTAATTCTGCAGGCAGGTGAGATATTTAATGTTAAATATTGTCTCCCCCCACCCCTTTAAAAATGTACCATTGTGTTGTGATAAGTCACTGTGTGTTGCTTGATGTGTTTTGACTGTTTGTGATTTTATTGAGGTTTCACAACAATGTTATTGTGGTGACTGTATTGGCTGGTGTAACGGCTACCCTGGTAGAGAGAGGGTATCGGCCGTTGGAGACGTCCTTTTTCCCTGCAAGCTGCTGTGGAGAAGTAAGCTGGTATAATCCCATTCACGATATCCAGAGTAAAAGTCAGGTTCAGCTGTAGCAGGAGCAGAATAACATTCCCAAATAATCCCCTTCCAAGAACGGGACAAGGCTACGTTTTGCAGGGTCAAGAAGATCTGAGGTCTGGGAAACCCAGCCTGCTTTTTATTAGGAACAAGTACACACAGGACACTCCCAGGGGGAGGATGAAAATAACCAATTACACACAGGGTAACACCCCCACGTCTCCTCCCCTCAGATAAACATATAACATAATTATAACGTACATAAATTTACCCACATTCTGGATGTACCCCAAAAACAGGGGGTACACTTTTAAGTCCAGCACCGCTTAATAGCTACCACT